AGGTAATGCCCCTGAAGCTCCAGTGAGATCGGTGAATTGAGTTGTTGAACTGGAATGATTGCGTGTGAAGGGTCCTCACAATGGTGCAAAGTTCAGAAAAGGCAACAATTGAACAGTTGTGAGGGGAAATTGCAAATTGAAAACAAATATCAAAATCAAATTTGGTTTAGATAATTTTCTTTAAAATATTGAATTAAAAAAGAAAATGTTTTCTATTTTTAGAGATTTCTTTAAAAGATTTGATTACCCTATCTAAAAATGATATAATACACAGGAAGAGACTTACATATTTTATAAGAAAAACTCTCCACACCTAATGGGATTTCTTTCTTATCTGAGCCCGAGATCCCCGCCTTTGAAAGAAGTCCTTGGCCCTGCCTAGAATTTCATCAACTAAATGACAGGCATCCGTCCCTCGGAGATGACTCTCCCACATTGTCATTGTTCAATGTGCATGGCTACAATAATTAATTTTCCCAAATCCCGATATCAGATTTATCTATGGAAAACGTTTTAAGCCTCCCCCTGACCAGAAAAAAAAATGAAATGAGCAAACGAAGAGCCGAGAACAAAACCAAAAAAGTAAAGAAAGAAAAAACGAATGCGAACAATGAGAGATATTTTTAAATGGAAAATTTCGTATTTAATCCTCACTATGTCCCATACCTTTCTCACACATCCATCCGGCTATCCGTGTATCCATCTATCTGTCGGCTGGCTCTTAACTAACCCAACCTTAGAATGCCTCAGATATTTCAGTTTTCAGTTTTCGGTTGCCAGTGGTTGTTGTAATTCATCACCTACAAATCAATCATTTTGACGAAGCAACTCACTAAAAAGAGGAACGTACATACGAACCAAAAGAACAACGAATCGAAATAAAAGGAATATAGCACTAAGAACGAAGCGTATAAAATGCACTCACACACACACGGGGCTGGAGGGACAATAGATCAATGCTTCAATATCAAAGAGTCGGCTTGACCTTTTAACGCAACTTTTTCCAGAAGGTGAGGGGTGAGTCGAGGAACTCACTATCGGGAGATGCGAGATGGAAGCCTGTCTCAGCTCGACTAATTGTCTCCCAATGGATCACTCTCTGGGTTGTTACACAGAGGAAAAATAATGGGTTTATCAGGTATGATATAGTAGGGCCTAAAAAAAAATGTTTTGGGAGGTTCAATAACCAATATGTGGCAAATAACTATTCAAAAGCGACATTTAACCTTTAATAGTTATGATTGTTTGGCTAAAACCATTTGGGAATTTTAAGACCACATCTTAATTTTTGTTTTTTACATTCTTTTGAATATATTTCTTTTGCAAGAAGTTATCAATTTAATACATTTTTTTCTCACTGCATCTCTCTCTATCTTGGACGCATGAAAAATGTTTTTATTCCATAGATTTATGTAGATAGACCTGCGAAGGTGTGGTGTAGGTGAGCGAGTGCATGTGTGCGTCTACGGCACTTAATTTGTTGTTCTTGTGTGCTGCAGCATTTCGGTGTGAGATTACGCATTCTGAGTTCCCCTGCCTGATCTTTGACGATCCTTTCAGAATTGGAATTCTCATCTTGTCTTGGCTTAGTTTACAATGCTCTTTTGATTAGGCCACGAAGGTGGGCCCCCCTCCCCTCCTTTTACCCACCTCGTACGTGATTGGTATTATTCATCACTTGTCCTTTGCTCGTATATCCTATCTTTGGAATTTGTTTCTTCGCCTCGCATTCTGGCTTATCGGCCAAGATTTGTTTAGGCACACAACCTTGGGCAGTGTTTAATTAAAATTTTAAGTATGCTCAGGTAGCTTCGTTGCTTACTTTCGTATCTTCTGTTTGGTAGGTAGAATCAAAATTTTTCAAATTTATTTAGTCGCCACAGGAAGTCGTAAAACATTTGCGCTCACTGACTATGATTTTCCTGTCCGGCTACAACAATTTTCTAATTGATTTTTATGGATTTTTGTTCAGACATTTACAGGACTTCCACGAAGGGAAAGTTTCCACAATTGAAAATGGGCGGAACGGGGTGAATAGTGGGCGTTGGGAGTGGTCGTCGGGGTATCGTGGGGTCAACAGCCAAAAACTGAAAAGTTTTACGTAGTCTTAACAATGAATGCAGTCGATAAGTAGTGGCATAAGTACGATTTCATTTCTACACACACAGTCGCAAAAAGCCAGAAATGAGAGCCGAGCAATGGAATTGGGTTTAATTTTGAAAGACACCGATGTACTAAGTGCCCTTCGATGAAAATTTTAATAATTTTAAGGAAAGGATAATAAGAAACTTTTTATAAAGATCATCCAAGAGCACAAAAATGTATCTGATTAGGTTTAAAAACTTGAAAATCGATAGAAAAAAATAGTTTTTATTTGATGATATATTAAACAGAATAAGAAAATCCAATCCACTATATAAATCCTATATCATATCATATATATAATATATAATTTATTTTACTTTAAACCATTGTACAGAACTAAAGAACTCCCAAAGTTAGGGTACAGTCAAAAGCTTCGTACTCCTCCGCCCTTCAAAGGAGACCGAATCTACTCAAGGCACAGCTGTTGGAAAAGAAGCAGAAGTTGGATAAAAGAGGCGAGCAGAAAAGAAAAGAAAAGGACAGCAGGCGGCGAAGGGTGATGAGGAGGAAGAGGGTTGGGGATGGTCTCAAAATAGTCATTGTAATAAGAAAATTTTGATTTCATTTTTAGTATTTGTATAAAATTTAATAACGCCGCACAAGATGGCTGACTTTGCAGGGCAAGAACAACAAAAGAGCGAGCAGGATGGAAGGGATGAGTGAAAGGGAGGGGTGGCATGGGCATGGGCATGGGCTTGGTTATGGGGGTAAGGGTAGGGGTAACTAAAACGCTTAAAACACACAATCTCGTTTCGGGTTCGGTTGGGATTTCGGGGTTACGCTTAAACTCTAAGTACATTTTAACTTAACTGCCTTTTTTTGTTGTTGTTCTTTCGTTTTTGGTTTTTTGTTAGTTGCTCTCCCCCTTTTCCCATTTTCCCTTTTCCATGGCGAATTTTAAGGCGAGAAGGCAAAAAACCCAGATGATGATGCCCGATGCCAATGATGATTATTACCGTTGGTTGGGGGTGGGGGTTTTATCAAGGGGTGGTGACTTGGGTGGTGGTTCCTCAACTTCTAACTTGACTTGTGTGTGTGTGTGCGTTCGCCTGAGTACAATTATAAATTTTTGGAATTGTTGTAATTTAGTTTGTTTGTTTGCCAGTTGGATGTGCTAGCTGCTAGCTCCCTCTCGCTCTCTCCTACAATATCCCTCTCTCCCTCTACTGGCTAGTTCGAATGTATATTTGTGCTAGGGTTTTTCCTTTGTTATATACTAGCTTTGATTGCGTTCTGGCGAATAAGTGAAGCAGGCACTTTGATACCCATCAATTAGTCAAGGGTTCAATGTAACCCTATTTAGGCTAAGGGATGTGCCAGCAGCTGCTATTGGGTTATTGCCCTGATTTAAAGGGTTTCGACGTTTTTAAGTACAGTACTTAAAAGGGTAAGCTTTATTTTATACAATACCGTCTTAAATGTATTTGGAAAATACGTATTTTTTGTGACGTGAAATATTTCATTAAATATAATTTCAGTACTGTTAATAAGTAAAACTCCTTTTAGTAATATTTTAACTTTGAATGCCCCATAATTAAGTAACGCTACACTGTTTCATTTTTCTAAAATCTTTAAATACTTCACCTAACCTTTTTGTATCAAGTAAGTAATTATTTCTGTAATTATATGATGGGTTAAGTTTTTTCAAAACGTTCCCACCTTTACTATGCTGTATCCCTAACATAACCCCGCATAATCCGATACCTCCTGTCACTCAACTCGTTGAAAGTACGGAATACCCGACATACCCTTTGACACCCTATTCATAACGGGTATAAAAACTTTTCTCCTAACTGCGATTTCCAGTGCGACTGCTGCCTTTGCTGATTATCACGATAAAGCATAATGATTACATTTTTAGTAGAAGCCGCTTGTGAGAGAGTGTGCGAGCAGGACGAAGGCAATGGAAAGTCCTGTGAGTGCGAGCGAGAGTAATTATTGTTCGCAAAACGTCGGAGTTTTTGAACTTGTTGGGATTGGGATTGAAATTGGGCTTAGGTTTGGGTTAGGGTTTACGATTTCGGGTTCGGGTTCTGGGAGGGTTGCTATTCTATTGCCTCGCTGGGCTGGGGAGTGTTAGCGGCATTGGCTTGCACTTGATTAATTGCGATTTATGTATATGCGATATGGAACTTTTGTGTGTAATTACGGACGGGTTGGTAACTGTTATAACGGTCGTTGACATGAGGGTTCCTTTCGAATCGCTTCGAATCATTCGTTTGCAGTGAAATTCGAGCAATAAGCTAGGTGATTATGTAAGGAATAGTAAAAAAGGAAATAAATAAAAGGGGGAGGGTCCCTGAGAACTCCCAAAATTATGCTATGCAGCTGCAACATCCTTCGTTTTCTTTTCTATTTTCTTTTTGGAATAAAGAATCATTTTTGCTGGCTGAGCAAATAATTCAGTTTTAATATTTGTTGTTTTATTTTTTGGGGAGAGCGCACTGTTGCTGTTGTTGTAGCCGCTTTTTGCTTTTTGTTTTGCTTAGTTCGTTTGGTACTCCCACTCATCGAGAGAGCAAAAGATACCGAGAGACTGGGAGAGAAGAACGTGAGAGAGAGAGAGAGCAATCAGCCAAGTTAAAGTACAATTCCCGCTATTGTGCATTACTTTTAACCCACATTCAAAGCCAAATAGTAACGCACACCAAGAAGCGAGAGAGAAGTGCTCTCCTCATCATGTTTCGTTATTTTCCCCGAAGTCGCACGAACGCTCTTCGGCTCGCTTCGTGTCTGTGTGCGTTTGTAAATTGATTTTATTAGTTTTTCGATATTGTTGTTGTTGAGTGTTTGCCGCTGCCGCTGCCATCGTGGTCTACGTCGCCGTCGACGTCGGCAGAGCAGAATGATTTTAAAAAATTTTTGAATTGTGGGCCCTTAGTCAGTGACTAGCCGTGAAACAGTGCGAACGCGCTCAGCGGCATAAACTATAAACTCCGGCGTTCTTCCCCTAATCAATCCACCCAAAAAGAAAACCCCGCCATTTAAACACCGCACTAAAAACAATTTTTATATCGGTTCTCGAGTGCTTATACAACCCAGAACAACTAACTGAAAAAAACAAAATTACCAATGTGAACATGTGCAATTAGCTTGCAGAAACTAATAAACAAAAACAACAAGAAAACCAAAACAAATAAGAAAACTTTTTAAACTCTTGCTTTTGGGATTATCAACAAACAAAAGAGATAACTTTTCGCAGGACTTGTGAGAAGGATAACAAACGCACACAAACAGACAATCAAAATGGTAAATATTAAGCTGGAATAAGATTATCAAAGTGTTTTACATAGTCTTAAAGGTTGATTGATATTCGCCAGAAAAGGGTTCAAATGTTGTATAATATTTCTAAAGGATTTTTAATACAGACATTGAGAAATCTTTAAAAGAAAGCAATAAATTTAAAGAACATTAAACAAAATTTACAAGAACGTTAACACTTTAGTTTTTATAACTTTGTAAGTCAAGACTAAAAAAACTTACATTAAAGAATTTAATAGATTGAATGAAATATTAGGGTTTTTCGCCTAAATTCATTCATTTGCAAACCGCAAAACAAACAGCGATAGCACTGAAAAATCTCTAAAAAGTATATTGGCCAATATAAGCGTTCTAGTATTATATTTTCATACGCCCTATGAATCAGCGCGCACTGGCTAATTTCTATTTTATTAGCCAAGTTTGTGTGACTTGACTGACACTCCTTAGTCTTAGTCATTAGCCAACTCACAAATGTCTTGGTATCTTTACCTGCCATTTGTGTGGGTTAGATTGCATATTATAAAGCAAAATAAAATGAGATACCGATGGAGATATTCCGATTTAGAATTGGCAAATACTGTTTATTTTTTATTTGGCACGCACTCGACGCTGCGACGTACATATAAATTTAGCTTAATCTCTTTGCTTGCATATTAATTTCTGCTCAATATTATTGGCATCTGTAATTTCTATAATTTCCGGCGCTGCTGATTCGCTTAACTTAAGCGGACTGCACCCATAAAAGGCGGCTCTGATTTGCGATTTATTTGCTCTGGGAGCCATAAAGCAATAAGCTATTGACGTAACACTTCCGTTTCCAAACTAATATGATTCCAGTGAATTTTAAGACCATTCTAATATAATCAGACTCGTGGAGGATCCCCAGTTTCCGAGCTATCGAAGGGCGGATATATGCGAAATTCCAACCGTTATCCCTTGGGGTTTCCAAAGCGGTTTTCAAAAATGTTCTTCAAGTTCTCGATTGATAAATACTAAGTCCGAATGGAGCTCTTATGGTCTACCCACAAAGTTGATATAAGTCATTAGATTAGTTGGTTGGAAAACGGCTATCTACAGCCTAAGACTTTCTTAATTCCCCGAATTGCAAGTATGACTAAGAAAATTATGTGTTGGAGGAAGTTAAAAAACAGAAATGATAAAATTAACTAAGAATTCTTATATCACCATGGGCCAATCCAAAAAAATTCTTCTGCAAGAGCTCTTCTCGATTGTCAACAATTTTTCGCAATCAAATTGTTATGTATCTGATTTTCAAATTAATCGTAATGATGAGAAATATGAAGAAAAACGAAGAAAATTTGTGGTTTTGTTGCTTGTTTGAGAAATATTGAAAATGCTGCGCCATATGTGAGATACATCTGTATCTGTATCTGTGTGTGTAGATGGTGGCGGGATACAAATAAATATTTGGCACATTAAGAACGCCGCAAAATGCGAAGAGTCAGCCAAATATGAAATTATGATCACGATTATGATTATGATGTTGTTATAATTAGAGAACAACGAAAGCGAAAAACGATTCATAATTATTCAAAAATTGACTTAAAGCATTCGTCGTCGTTCGTAGCTCTTCGCTCCGACTTTTCCACCAGCTGCCGTCGCCAGATCGTTCAGATCGTTCATATCCATATGGGTTTTAGTTATGGTCTTAGTTGGGGGCTGCTATTTTTAAGTGCACGCACACACACGACTGCAATTACACTTTCGAGTGCTTAATCACAGCCGAAACTTTTACACAAATCATATTCCCCAATATGTATAGCTATATATGAAACTATGCCCATAGCCCACCACCACCCCTCATTTTCCGTTTTTCCATTCAGGGCGTGCGCCTCCTCTTGCAACTTTTCCCTGCCGCATTTGCTCTTTGGTTTTCCATTGAAAAGTCGGGCGAGAATGTGCACGATATGTTTCCACTCAAAATGTTTGAGCGGCCGGAGGAGAGATGAAACGAAAGCGACCACATTTGTTTTATTAATTGCCACTCTTACGAACACATGCTCAAGACTCGTGGCCGATAATCGTGGAGAACGCTATTTTATTTGGTTTATATGGCATAATCATAATTGGCCAAAAGTGGCTGTAATGAGCAATACGATTTGAAAATTACTTGGCTACACATTTGGACCATGTTGCCGCGGAAAATCCGCTCATTAATTTGATTCCAAGTATCAGAATTTTTCACAGGATGCTGCAGATAGAGTATAGATCTTACAGCTGGTAACGCTCACTGAAAATAGAAAATTGCCACGAGAAAATATTTTATAGGATACTAAAACTAATGGTGATATGTTGAGAAAAATAATTAAATTGGCAGTCTTAGAAAGGGTTGTTTGAGATTATTAAAGTTGATTATATTTAAATAGAAATATTTCAAGGGTTAGGAAAATAATAATATTTAAATTACTTTTCTTACATTTTTTTTATCAAGTTCTCGGGTTAAACATATCATTTATTTCCTCGAACTGCAGCTTTTGGTTAAATTCAGTTAATCGAAAATACCATTCGACCACATTTGGAGCTTTGTCAGCTGCCAACCCCCTTTTTATTGGCTGTCTATTGAATTGGCAATTATTTGAATTTATTTTTAATGCTCACAAAGGCACACATATGAGCAACTGTGAGTTGAGGGATCTGGGAGGTGGTGGGCACTTCTTCTACGGCTCATTTTCACCATCTGGAATGGGATTTGATCTGATTCCATGTGTGTGTATCTGCGGTTGACTACTTAATTTCCAAGTGCCATAAAAATTTCGATTTGGAATTCAAATTGAAAAGTTGCCTGCGTTCTCCCTTATACAATCATATCTATATAATGTCTTTGGAAAATAAGTTGTCTTATTTATTGGTTCTATGCTTATAAATATTTAAAAAGCATCGAATGGAAATAAACAATTAGTGTACTTATCGACACTTGGAATCGGAGGACAGCCGATGGCGATTGCCTTTAAAAGCCAATTGCTGAAAGGCTTTCGATCGAAATGTTTATGCTAATGGCTAAGGAATTTCACCATATTGATATTAAGGCTAGGGTTTTGTTTCCATCTCCGATTGTGAACGCCTCAAATGTCGAATGCAAATTCGTTCCATCACTCATTTAGTTTTCCATAGTTTCCACAGCGGAAAATTAATGCAAGTGTAAGAAAAGTGCCTGTCGCAAACAATGCTTGTCCATCTGTTCATCTGTCCATCAGTCAGTCAATACCTCACTTCCTCAGTCATTCAGTCAAACCCAGCGACAGCCACAGCCTGTTCAGGTTGAGTCACCTTATGTTATGGGTATGTGGATGCCGGTTTAGGCCTCAGGCTTTTTAATTCATCTATCGACACATCCTTTTTGCTCCAAAGATGACAGCGTGAGTTACTGGTTTCATAGAAAGAATATTTAAATATATAAATGCTAGTAAAATTTATGAAATATATTTGTATAATTTTTTAGAGACCTTTATTGCGTTTTCCAATATACTTTATCTGACATAAGGCCTACGAAAAAATTTCTATAATAAATGCGATAAGGTTAAATAAGTGTTATTGAAGTTTAATATTTTTATTTCTAACAAAAATCTTAGAAAATATGTGCTATATGTGCGATAAGGTTTAGTAAACCTTATCAAAAACTAACTCCCTCAAATAATTGTACTTCTAATGCTCGTATTTCATTTCATTTTGCTGATTGAATCCGATAATTGAATTAACATTTTGAAAACGCCCTTTTGCAACATATAATTTATCAAATCCGGCTAACCAGAAATGAATAACTTATAATGATGCTTGAGCTTATGTAGTCTGTAAGTACCAACGTTTCCAATGGGATTTCACGCTTTTCCGAGACACACGCGACCACCTCACGTGGCCATCGCCAGCTACGCGAAACACAATGGGTGTGCCTCCGCCCCTCAGAAGACCGTCTTTTCAGTTTCGGGACCTAATCCCCCGGCACTGAGTCGAGACAATAAACTGGCAATCAATCAATGCACGTGTTTCATATTTTTGATATTGCCGCTGACGAGAATTTTCGGACAAATCAGTCACTTGGGCTTGGGGTTTTATGGCTCTTTAGTTATTGCAACATCGGCTGGGAAAAACTCGGGGTAAACAAATTCCAGCGAATATACAATGTAGTAGCAGAGAGAGCCAAAGTCCGCGGCGTCACCCGAAAGTCGCTCAATTAGAGACGATTTAAATTTATAGATACGGTTAGGCAATGCATGCGCCCGAGGAGAATGTCTTAATTAATTTTAATTATTTTCAATGAGCGACTATGAAATACAAAACATTTCACCCAACTAAGAACGCGACTCGGGCTCTCGATAAGAGAAGCAATTAAGTAACGAATTAATAGCAATCGACTTATAAATATGATGGTACCCTCAGGCGCAGGCGAGTTCCTATGTTTGTTTTCCCTTCATACGAGAATTGGGTCTGCCGTTTAACCCGATCCGTCGCCCTCTTTTTCCCCTTGCGCTTCTTTTTTTTTTTGGGGGTAAACTTTTCACGCCACCGAATTTCGTGGCTTTGCATTTTCCAAGCCGCCAGTTTTTCCATGTGTTTACATGCGGGCCAAAGACCCGCTCAACTCCGGTCGCCTGCTCCCTGTTTTTACCACGGTGGGCCATTAATTTATTTGTCTGCAACATGCAAACCAATTGACAATCAAACGCAATTAGTCACAATAATCGTGAAATGGAAACGCATTTTCTGCTTATTGTTCATACCGAAAAATATCAATATTATCCGCTGCTGAATGATGAGAGCTCACATCTCGATTGCCTTGAAATGTTCATAAATTATGATCAGCACAGGACAAAATAAATCATCCCAGGTAGCCGATGGGGCAACGCCCAAAAGCTGTCTTCTATAGAATGACACAAAGTTGTGCTGAAATGTTAGCAGTTTTTTATTTTAACTAGAAACGATTTATTAGCGATTAGAGAATGAGTGGATACACCATAGTTATCTGTAGATCT